ATTTCCTAGAGCCTATAAATAATTTGCTTTTTATAGATAATTTACTTTCTGACTTATCTTTTGATGAGTTTGAAAGAGCTTACAAATCTCTCAAAAGATCCAAAGCTACGGGTGCGGACGAAATAAATGGCAACATAGTCGTAGATTGCTTTGAAAACTTAAAATGTAATCTTTACAAAGTCTTAAGGGCATCTATACAGGAAGGTGTATTCCCCGACCAATTAAAAATAGCTAAAGTAACTCTTACATACAAAAACGGAAAAAAAATCAAATATTAGTAATTATCGCCCTACCTCAGTTCTTTCAACTTTCACAAAAAATTTAGAAAGAATTATATACAATAGAACATACAATTACCTTAATCTAAATAAACTTCTGTATAAAAATCAATTCGGTTTTTAAAAAAATTGTTTAACTGAACAAGCCATTTCACAGTTCATTCGTGAAATCTCCGATTCATTTGGTAGATCACATTATACATTAGGTATTTTCATTGACCTATCAAAAGCATTCGACACGGTCGATCACAAAATTCTACTTAAAAAACTTAAACTTTACGGAAATAATGGCAAATTAATAAAATGGTATAAAAGTTACTTGGAAAATAGAAGACAATTTGTTTTCTATGGAGAATATTTTTAAAATGAAAAATTAATTGACATAAAATGTAGTGTTCTACATTTTATGTCAATTAAACAAAAGTGGGTTCTATTCTAGGCCCACTTTTGTTTTTAGTTTATATAAATGATTTAAATAAAGCTTCTAACCTTATGTGTATAATTTTTGCGGACGATACTAATTTATTTATTTCAAACAGTGGCATTTATAAGCTTTTTTCAAATATGAATAAAGATCTCAATCAGATTTCCAACTGGTTTAAGTGCAACAAGTTAACTTTAAATATTGACAAAAAAAAGTGGATCCTTTTCCACTCTCTTGCTAAAAAGCGTTTTTTACCAAATAAATTGCCTGAACTTTTTATTGATAAAATTGAAATAAAAAAAGAGTCGGTCACAAGATTTTTAGGCATTTAAATTGATGAAAATATTACATGGAAGTATCATATTGACTATATTTCTACTAAATTGGCTAAAAGTATTGGAATTCTATATAAGGTCAGAAACTATCTAAGTAAACAAAGTTTAATTCAACTCTACTACTCATTTATTCATAGCTATATAAATTATGCAAATATTGTTTGGGGAAATACCTCTAAAAGTAAGTTACGAAATTTTTACTATCGTCAGAAACACGCAATGCGTTAAATATGTTTCGAAAATCATTTTTCTCGTTCAAATATTTTATTTAAAAACGTTAAAGCACTTAACGATTACGAACTCAATGTCTATATAAATTTATGTTTTATGTTTCGTTGTAAATGTGAACGACCATTGTCCAATTTCAAAGATCTTTTTAGTTATAAAGCTATAAACAAATATGCTTTACGAAATAATAATTTATTAATTAAACCCTTTTGTCAAACAAAGTTTAATCAATTTTGCATAAACTATAGAGCTCCGTATTTATGGAACAAAATTGTTATTCCAAATTTTGATTTCTCAATTTCGTTTTTCGTTTTTAAAACTAAATTAAAAAACTATATTCTTTCTACTGGCAATATATATAAATATTTTTGAAATGTAAAATTTTTTTTTTCACTCTTGATAATTTGTAAAATTATTTTTAGTTTTTGTTTTTTCTACATTCTTAATAGTTATTTGATCAATTGTATTTTTATTTTATTATATATACACGTATGATATATTTTGTATGATTCTGGCGACAAGATCATTTGGATCTTCTTTCAGATACCAAGTTTATATATTGTTATATTGTTATATTACGATTAATAATTGTAAACTGAAAAAAAAAAAAAAAAAAAAAAATATTTACGCTCACATTCATTCAATCAGCAATCAATCAATAATGAAAAGGTATTTTTTTTTTAAATCAAAGAATAAAGATAATATAAATATTATAAACCACAACACTAACACCATACATAGTATAATAAAAAGAAAAAAAAAGTCTATCTCAATTAAATAGACGTTTACGCGGCGACCTCATTCAAAAATATA